TAAATAGAGATAAATAGAGTTAAGTAATTTATTTCTAAAAACTATATATATATATATATAAAGGGGCCTGGTCAGCTTTAGCTGATCATTAAATCTGCTCATGCTCCTTGTCCCTTCTTAGGATGACAACCTCTCTCAAACTTCCATCCTTCTGCATGAGGCTGCTCAGCTGGGCTGGCCAGTCATGCCTTCTAAATCTTTTCTCATGCATACCCAATATTTGGTACATATGGACATGTTTTTCAACTCCTATCTCAGTTGTGCTCAGCCTTCAACACCTAGTCTGTGAGCAATGAAATGTTTAGTCACCAAGACTTGCACTTCTGTTTTACACCCTGAGCATACGGTTCTTTAGCTTTTGGGGACTCTGGATCTTCAAAAACCTCTCATTCCTTTGGGGCACGCCCACATGCACCTTCTCCAATGGATGTTGTGGAACCAGTGGAATGTTTCTCTGAATCTACTGTCCTTCTCAAGGACTTGTGCTGGTTACTCGACCATGCCAGTACCATGGTGGGCTTACTTTTGCTGCCCCCTGACTAGAAGTCCATCTTTCCACAAATGCTTTCCTGTTGAACTGGGACTAACCTCTCAATGATGATATGACTTTGAGCATGTAGGCTCCTTAAACTTCTTGAAGTTATTTGTGTACATTCCCATTTCCTACCCTTTCTCTTAATTAAAAGGGTTTGGTTATGATCCTCTCCAACAATTCCTCCCTCATTTCGTATATCAACCATCAGAAGGTTATCCATTCCAGGACTCTTTGCTTCTATATGTTGGACCAGCTTTTGAGCTCATTTCCATCAAGTACATCTCGTAGCTTGACATGTGTCAGAAGCTCTAAACCTGGTTGTGGATCATCTCTCTCAACTGGATCAGATTCTATCCATGAAGTTGTCTCGCCCCCTCAGGTTTTTCATTGGGTTTGCTCTCGGTTGGGTACACTCCTCGTTAATGCCTTTAACATTCCTCTTAATGACAAACTTCCACTCTTCTGGTCCCCAGTTCCTGAGCCTTCATCTCTGGCAATTGATGATCTTAGCTAGGACTACTCTTTCTGTATGCCTGTCCTCCTCTTCGTCTCCTCAAGACCTTGTGTCTTAGCTTTTATACAAGATACTCCATGTTGGGTCCTGTTAGTGGCATCTCTTTGGCCTGCACAATGCCGGTTTCTCTCCTTCATCAATTGGCAGCCAGGCCCCCTCTTCATCTGTTCTGTTCTCCCATCTATTAATCCAACATCCCACGTCTCTTTTTTTTCACTCAGTGGTGTCATCCCTTCATCTTCACATGTGGGATTTGCCCAGTGCAACACACTTTGAGCCAGATTCTCCAATCAAGTAGCCACTTCTTATCCCATTCCTTTCATCCTTCGACTTTGTCTATCTATCAATAGAAGTGGAGAGTGTTTCGACAATGGCAAATTTGCCACTCCTTTCTTCCTTTTTCCACATGATTGTTCAACCATAGATTGTCGTCTTTAACAAAACTGGTTATCAGGTGACATTGTCCACTACATTTCATCCTTCCCATTAATGCCAGGTGTTTTATTCCCCTGTATTTTCCACTCCACTTTGTTATGATTCTTCCCTTTTCACCAATTCATTCCACAGATTCCCATGCCTGTTTTGGATCTTATGTGGATTTACATGCTCTCATACATGCCCCATTTGAGCCATTGGCTTCTTGTTCTTTGTACCACCTTTCTCTTATGACATCTTTCTTTTTCTTCTTGCATGTGGTCATTGTTGTACCTGGATTGCCTTCTGTGTCTGGTTCTGGCTGTTTGGTGTTCTTTGGCATGTATGTTTCCTTTTCAAAGTTCCCATCATTGTTTGTTTCTACCTTGGGACCCCCCCCCTTCATTCAAAGACATCTGACCTTCTACCCTTACATGATGAGTCTGCCACCTCCCCTGGTTAGTGTATTCTTCACTGGATGTGAATGCTTTTAGGCTTTATCACATTTAATCACATCAAATTCATCCCCTGTCTCACTCTCTTGCATCTCATTTTCACCTACCCTTGGACAAGATCCTTCAGGCTGGCATTCGATGACTCCCCACACATTTGTCTTGCATTATCTTCATCATCTGGCTACTTCTTCTCCTGCAGGAATTTGACTCCCTCCAGTTACTATTCTTCAATCTACACATTGTCTTTCAGAAGGGGTAGGTACTTTTTTCATTTTCATTACTCTTTTCCCCTTTATAGGATCCAGCCAGGTGGCTGGTGTTGCCTTCCAAGGTATGCTTATTTCTCAAAATCTGCATAGAGCCAGGGGTGATGGAAAGTGCTCAGCTCATCCATCCTGGCTCTACCAGTGCTCAATATTGAGATGGGATATTCTGTAAAACTACTAGAATTATCCTCATGGTATTACAACTATTCAAATCCCCAATTCAAACCATACCATTCCATGGACTATCACAGAAAAAAGCCAGCACCAGGTAAGTGTATCCTTCTTCTTTGGCTTAAGCTTGCCGGCTTTTAAAGATAAGAGTTTCATGGTCACACACTGCAATGTCTTCAGTAAAGACCTTTATAACAGGTCTATGATGGGGATTAAGGCACTTCTCCATGGTTTCCCCACTGCAAATTCTCCCACCTTCTTGCCACTTACCAGTTCCTAGCTGCTGGGGTGGTGGACTTGGAATAGTTCCTCACTGATTGTTCATAGCACCAGTGGGATGAGGGTAGTGGTGACACTGTTTGTGCATTGCAGGTCACCCATCAAATTCGCTTGGAAAGAAACAAAGGGAAAGGCAAAAGAGCCCAAAGTGTCACAGGAAAGGGCAGAATTTTTGCATGGCCAACCAAGCACTCACACGCAAGTGGTTGGCAAGCCAAGTCATCAAGTATACTGTGGTTAGGGCACAATCAGACCATACTGTGTGCATTTCACCTCAACTCAAGTAGACAGACTCGCACTGCAGGAGTAGGGCATATTAACTGGAGTATATCCTGGCTGAAAGGAGCTCATCTAGGTTTAAAGTTTGCACCAGCCCTTCCACCATTTCAATATAGGATTCTAGCTATTCTAGCATTTCCCATAGATACTCTTCACACCCATCTTCCCCACTTCTGGTACACTTTCTTCTTGCCTTGTGTAAGAATGAAGTTATTTCAATTGCAAGTGCTTAAGGGGAGTTACTGTGCAAAGAGGTTGTGTAACACCCCTTATTAGTGAAGGGCTATTGTAGCATGATGATGTTATCATGCACAAGCTCAGATCATGTTAAACACATGATTTTTAAGTGGGAGTTAGCTCAAGGCTTGTGGCATGAAAATCTCATAGGCAGACATGACAGGGATCAAGCTCTTCTTGTTTGTGGAGAGAATCTATCGGAAACTCATTTTCCTTACATGAAAATGTTAACTTTTTTAGAAAAATCAAATCTAAAACAAACATGAATCTAATACTGTTGATATTGTTAATCTTTTTTTTTCAATTCAAATGTCATGTTAAATTAGGTTTGTTTTTAAATTCAACAGTCTGTAAAGTTGAGAAAGACCATAACTATGATAATTAAAATGTGATTGTCTCTTTATTTGTAGCTTCTAGTATAGACCCATCTATACAAGTGTAAAGCCTAGTGTCATTCTATGCAGATATTCAATTGGAACTTGGTATTTTAAAGCAAATTTATTAACATTCAATCTTCAAATTTTTTTGAATCTACATGATAACATTCCTAATCTACTTTTTATTTATTTTTATTATGACAATTAACTAATTCACAAGTACTAAATAATTAAAAGATTGAATAGGATTTTTGTTTTAATTGCCCATCTAAACATCTTATTTAGTGACAACTCCAGTTTCCGTAAATCTGGATTCCCAATATATATATATAATGTTCAGGAATACATATTATGATCTCCCTCACTAAAAACTTTATGCATGTGGTTCAAGAATAGTTTATTCTTCAATCAACCTTAATCCATGTAGTTTTGAGGTCAGTCACATGGGTATTAGTCAAGAAGCATGTTCAATAATGAGGATTTGAACTGCAACCCACAGAATGCGAGTTGAGTACCCTATCCAAAAGGCCATGCATGTGATTTAAGAATAATATCTTTCTTCAAATACTTGGTGAAGAATACATCAAATAGTGGCTGGAAGAAAGTACATAATTTACAGTTGTGTACACATATGTAATGTACAAAAATTAACATAATGCATGTGTAAACTAAATAGTACAACTAGGATGATCAAAATACATCAAATCACAATCTCTAACTCCCAATTATTTTAAAAGCTATACTTGTAAAAACTGCTGGTTACTTAATAGCTGTCAAACAAATTTGACCATTAAATGTGTAAGCTGGTGAAAATTAGTTTCACAAAATAGGACAAACCAAGTACAAGTCTAACCAAGTTTAAAAGAAAACACAAAATTTATAAGCAAGACAGAAAAAACAAAATACTATTAGGCCTAGCTATATTAAATAAAAACACAGAATCTGAATTTCCAAATACAGAAATTACTCACCATTGTAACAGAAGGCATATCAATATTCACTAGTGACTGTGGATAAAGATGGTTCATCAGCTGACATAGCAATATTCCATCACGAAGTGCTCCTCCCAAGTCATTTGGTAAGGTTATGTTTAATTCATTCTTTATTATCTAGTTCATGTTAAGAGAAAAATGAAACAGTTATAAAAAAACAGACATTTGCACATCTAAGTCATTTAAGTAGTGTATATATATATATAACAATAGCTCTGAAAAGGAAAACTCCAAAGTTTCACTATACTTGAGCTGTTTTCAAAAGCATGAAGTAAATTCTATGGGATATGTTACAATGGTTGGTTAGAAGTGTTAATAAAGAGAGTTCAGTTTGTGATTACAATTCTAAAGGTGGGTCAATTCTTAATAAAGTCTAGTCCCACAAATGAAACACAAAATCCTTTCTCAAGTTGTTTTGTCCCAATACTTTTGATAACAAAGTGCATATTCCTGTTTACTATACTATGCACATGTATATTTTAAATGGATGTTGTGTTTAAAAACTCAGGACATAAAAACTATAGTTACTTTATCATGCATTTCTCAGTAAATATGACCACAGTTGAAACTAAAGTATAAACTGGAAACTATTAAAAAAACAGCTAAGCTTCAATATAAAATAATGTACTTAAAACACACAAATCAAACTTTCTATTGAACTAATTTTCAATTTTTATTATATTAATAAGCCCTGAACAAAACAATCTCAAAATTTTGGACACAGGCCTACTTCAGTGGTAACTAATAACTGTTATAAGTTAACGCACTCTTTTAAAAAATAGGTACGAGGAAGTTCAAGGGAAAATGTCAGATGTCAGTATCACTTAAACAATATAAAGGCTCTGATGATGATATATTTGAGATTCAACTAATAACTTTATACACATATAATGATGTATATACACTATCAAGAAATGTTTTGTTAATCATTACATCAGTAATTATATCAAAAAATCATAATAAAAGTATCTTATAGCCTTTTCAAAACAGACAACTGCCAAATATAATGAGAATATCTCTGCTTTTATATTAATGCTATTAGTGATTTTTCTGTTTGCTGGATTTCATGCAAAGCTACTTGAGGGATACCTGCTCTGGTTGTTCTTAATTTTGAACTGATAGACTAGACATAAAGCAGTTAGTCAATACCACCAATCATCAATTTTTGGGCTACTTTTGTCAGACCAAATAACAAGATTTGACAATCACTTGTATAGTTAACACACCTAAACTGCAAAAGTCCAGAGTGATTTTTTATTGGTAGAAATAACACATGAACCACCAAATATCAGCTTCACAGTCTGTAGATATTATACCTTCTGGCATGAGCAGAACTGAGGTGGACTGGTTTATTAGGGTGCAAGATAACAAAATACATTACAAAAAGCTAAGTATCCTCATTCCTTTATGTATAACAACCCAATTATAATATATCCTTCCTTTATTGTATATGCATGCTTTACAATGCATATATTACACAATGAACATCATAATTTGTAACGGACCAAACAAAATGCTTCTACAAGCATGGTCAAATAAAAACAGTTTATTAACTATAACAACAGAATTCCAAAGAAAACTTTCAAATGATTAGAAAACAAATTTTATCATTAAAAAAACAATTAGTAAATCCAGGACTAGGTAAATAAACAATACAATATTAATCTCAATGTTATTAATTTCAATAAATATCAGAGGAATTAGGAAAGAGAACCAGATGAAGAAAAACTTAATTCATCTGAGAATAACACAATGTTCCAAAATTAAACCACTTCTCAATATCAAAACAATATTCAGTAATAAATAACAAAAATTCTTTCCAACTATATCTCATGACCCAAGTCATTTTGAAGACCAAGGAAGGCTTTTTATTTAGTGGTTAGGCAACAAAGTTACATCTCATGACTATAAATTACTATAAATCTACATAATCTTTCACAACATTAATATCTGTATGTCATCACTAGGGGAAACTTGTGTCAGTTTCATAATATATACATGCACATACTCAAAATCAAGGTGCTCTAGATCAAAGGTGAGTTAGTGCTTTAATATAACTAAAGATTCATAATTCAACTAAATGATAGAAGGAATAATAAATGAATGGTAAGCAAAACCATAACAAAATAAAAGTAGAAACAAGCAAGGATCTATGACTCGGGGATGTTCTTTAAATCCCTCTCAACAATAACTCCTTGTGAGGAATTCAAAGTAGCATGGGGAGTAATCTTAATGGGTATATCCCCAAAAGGCCTTCGAATTCAAGAGGAGTTTGCTGTGTTTTGGGGTAGATGTTTCCACCAAGATGTCCCCAGAACATAGCCTCTCTAATTCCTTCTGATTAAAAGGGAGACATTTGCCCAAAAGGTTTGTCCAACAAGGAATGTATGATTACAAAATGAGGTACAGGTTCAAAATAGGTTTAAGATTGCTGTTCTGAGTCTTCATGATGTGGTCATTTACCAATCAGCTGTTTTTTATTATATTTTGAGGATTTGGGGTATCCATAATAAAAGGAAAATGATTCAGTGCCCACTGACCCCACCTATCATGGAGTCCTACGAGAGAACGTACTACAATGCCAAACAAGGAAACTGCAGCAACACCAGAGTTTTGTAAGTAATATACCCAAACACCAGCATAACACACATTGTTCATAAAACCTGTGGAGAATGCCCAACACTGGTACTCATTTGACCCTAGCCAAACAGAACCAGCCAACTGACCCTGTGGGGGCCACCACAAGGCCATCTATCTATAGGAATTCAAGGCCAAAGTGGTGTGTTGCAGTGTCCCAGACACCACTCAACTATCAGGATTCTCTCCTTCATGGGTTGCCATGCACGGCAAACACGTGAGTGGATGTTCAGATTCCAGAGGAGGTAAACTGAAAATACAGAACCTTCCCTAGGAGGTCCCTTTACAATGTAGTAGCGTCCTAACTTAACAACCCCTCGAGATTGAAGAATGATCTCGACTAGGGAAACCAGGAAATAGATGTGTATGATCCCTGGTAACTTAAAGACCAATAAAAGGATTACATGTGTTCTCGTCCCAAAGGCACAAAGGATTCAAGTGATGTCCACATTCCCAGAAGAGAAAGAACTATCCATGCAGTGGGAGAAAAAGAGGTGAGTAATAGTGTGGCATTCTATTCTATAGCATTGAGAAGGATGGGAGACAGCTGAGTCTGACTGAGAGAAGAGATGAAAAATAAAAAATACCCAGACTGATGACATATTGAACTGAAGCAAGAATAGATTTCACAGTCCCAAAAGAGAAGCCTGCCTGGGTTGTATCTGAAAGCAGAATCAGGATGTGATGGTCTAACAATTGATGAGATGTTGTCAGCAGTAACCAATCATCCATAGAATGGTGTGTGTACAGTACAATGGAATAAAATGGACAAGAAAACTCATACAATACAGCAGAACCCACATTAAGCATATACGAGGCCAAATGAAAACAAAAACAGAACTGCAGTACCTGACCCTTGTGCACCACAAATGATAACAGTGGTGGGACTCCACTGCTAAGGCAAAGTGCAGATAGGAGCCAACTAAAACCAAGTTGGACATCTACAATCCCAGTAAAAAAATCAACACAGATTGAGGAATGATTAACTTGTGAACCTTGGAGAATCTAGCATTGATATAGACAAGGAAGATTGATGACTGAACACCAGTCTCCTGTCTTAATAGGCCCAACAACTAACAGGAATAAAATTCTGAAAAACTAGCCCGACACTCTCACTACCCCAGACCAACCAGAGTCAGATAACCCTAGAACCAAGTTCCAAAACCCAATGAACTGCAGGAGATTGAAACCCTACAGATTGGGTGGATAATAGTGGGGAAGATGTGAACTGAATGACCAATTGTGACTCAAGGACCTGTAGAGCTTCTGGACCAATGGGTAAGGTTATCAGATATCCAGAAAATCTTGAAACCACGGCCCACGGCACCTGAAAGTATACAATATTCACCGATGCTGATGGCATTCCAACTAAGCAGTGGAAACCTTGGATATAGACAAAATCTATTCTGAGTACCAATGTACCAAGGATCTGATGTCAGGGATCAGTACACATGAATAGGGGCGGAACTATGAACCCCTGTAGAAGCCGATTAAATTAAAGATTCCAACAACAACCGGGAGGAATGTAAAAGCCAAAAATTGAACCAACATGCATGCTAACAATGGATCCAGCTCATCCTCAATGAAACTGGTGATCCTGAGAGTGTTCTAACAAAGATTTGAAAGGAAACAAAATGTTGAAGGTGAATTGTAAGTCCACAGACATAGACTTACCCTGTCCCATCAGGGGACATGGACTTATATAGGTGATCTGCAAACTCTGCATTAGAACCCTGAAATTCGAGATGCAGAAATTATTTGAAAGTCACAAAAATGTCTCTATCTGGTGGTGGTAGGCGAAATCATGAAGTTCCGACGAAGTGTTGTATAAATATTAATTGTCCATTTACGTAACTAAGAAGTAAACCTTCCAGCATGAACCATAATTTCCGTGTATGGAAAAAAAAAATCGCTCCCAGATCTTTCAGCCATCAATTAAGTTGCTGGCTCAAAAACAACTGGGAAAAGGCCCAAAACATCACACACTCGAAGAACCAACAGAAGAAAAATCAAAGGCAGCTTATCCCAAAGTGGTCTCCTTTTTGTTTTTCCTAGGTCATTTAAAGACCATGGCGAATATCATTGTTTGGAACAGCATCTTGTGAGGTAATGTAAGTTGTTTTGTAAGAGCAAAGCAATTGCTGGCCATCTGCCTAATCCATTCTAATGAATTGAACCCCAGACCCCAGCACTGTGAGTCCTTAAACTTACCACTGACTCACAGGGGGTTGAAAATCCAACAGACTAACAGAAGGTACAGGAAAATTCTAATTTAAAGTCTCTCAAAAATGTCGAGAATCACCCTCAAATGCAGCCTCAGAAACCCCCAGAGGACCACCACAGATCCAAATATATGTCTCCACCTCACTACGAATAAGATCACTGACAGTCTCAACCAAGAGTGACACCCCACCCCAATAGTTGTGCGATGCTAGATATCAGCAGAGGTGAGATCCAGACCCAATTGACCTCCGTGCTGGAAGTAATTATCCAGGAATTCATACCATAACCAGCTTCCCAACTGGTAGAGGAAATGATTATTTTTTCTTTTAGTTATTATTATTGTTACAAAATCAACTAGATAACACGATAATGTCCAAGGTATCATAATACTGGGAAATCTGTTAGTGACACTTTGTAGAGAAAAAGTGATCAAATTATCTGAATGAGGTGCTTATATACAGTACCAGGATAGAGGGAGTATTGACATAGGTGGAGAGTATCAAACGACATATATTGCCAAGAACAATTGAGTTGGTTCTATAAGATACAAGTAAGCAAGAAAAAATCAGACCAATGCTTCGATGGGCAAAGATGAAACCCTGGTGGTAGGGTAATAGCTATAAGTGGGAGTGGAGGTATGAATATTTTGTAATTAGTGATTTCATTTGCCATTTTAAGTTATCAATAAAATTTGTGTGCTTTGTTTGTGTATGCTTTTAGTTTTAATGCATCCTTATTTTTTAAATATGAATGTTTGCTTCAATATATCTATTTTTAAGGTCTGTTAAATATATGTGTTGACATATTTATTAATTACTGAATACTCATTTATCTTTAATCTTATTATGTACAAAAATCTATAATCTCTTTCTTTCTTAATTTTTTAAATTTTGGTATGAAATTCTGGGCGATTCGATAAATTGATGTGCTATGTCATTCTTACCTGAAATCTGAATAGTAAATGACGGATAAAAATGGATAATAATTACAATTCACTTGTTTAATTTGAATCGCACCCAGTTGTTGTTCATGAAAATTTATGATACATACAGTACCTACCCTACTACCGTACTATGTCTGTCATATATTAGCTGATCTGATGATCCCTGGTATTGGGTGAAAAGCCTCATTGGCACTGGATATATTAGATACTGTGTGTTTAACACACTATAACGTATTTCACTTTGCTTTCACTCATGGGTTCTTAAAATACTAGATTATTCAAGATAAATACTTCAAACTCACTTTCCTTAATTTATCAATGCTTTCCTTATCTTCCCTGGCTTTGCTCAATCTACTTTTTATTATAAAGTCAGAATCCACCTGATGATTAAGTAGAATAGATGACTTTTTAGAACCTATGGGAAATAAGATTAGTTTTTGTAAAAATCAGTATGTATTACAAAATAATATTTTGGCATTCTTGTCTTCTTTGAGATGCTGTAAACACATTTTAAAATATTTAGATTATCATCAAATTAAATTACACCGCTTACTGTTTCAAAACTTCAAACTAAATTACGATTATTACATATATCAAAAAGCAGAATATCACATGAATGACATCTTATGTTTTGCTACATTTACATGGAAATGAAATTTACTGATTTTATGACAATCTCATTTTTAAGGAACATTTTATGTTCAACTTTGCTTTATACTGTTGAAAATGTACTTGAGAATTAACACCGGGGATTTATATAATTTAAACCATACATAAAGTTTTGATTCTGAATGGGGGTTTCAAATGTTTTGAAACTATTCTAAGATGAAAAATAAAAAGAAATTCCTCCCTAAAATACTATTGATAAGCTCCATTCAGTAAGTTTGAGTTGATACTTTTGTGTTGGTTTTTGAAGATATCATGACTAAATGTAGTCTAAGTATATTTTATTTGAAGTTAAGAATCATGAGAGGTGATGTCTAAGCTTGCTGAGTGAGGAGCATCAATTCCTATACCTTTCACTATGGTACAATATTAACAATTAATGCCTGGATGTACATAACTTAAATAACATCTGAGAGCAAAGATTTAGAGATTTACATGAGTGGCTGTATATGTAATTTAATACAGAGAATCCCAGACATGACAATCTAAAATCTCAAATAAAACTTTCTCCAACAACAAAAAATACCTAAGTAACTGAAACAAACTTCCTTTGTCTAAGAAATATAAGATGTTGATATAAAATATATTTTGTTTTTAGTCTTTCTGAAAAAAGAGTACCAGAATTTCATGTTGTACTTTCCTAATGAAATGCACTAAATTGAACTTGCTATTACTACATTAATTAATTGCCAGTGCAACATACCATGATGATAGATACGAAACTGTTTGCAACTGTGAGTATTTTGGTCACAGTGATCAGTTATTAGGTATGATTTATAAATCAGTCCCTACTCAATCAACTTCATTGCATAATGATCTAACAAATGTTTTATAAGAAAAGATAACTCACCAAGACTTAAGTTTGTTCCATTTATCTTTCGTTTAAAAGGATGATCTTGAAATGTTTCTTTCTGGCTATTCAACATACCATTGTTGTTATTCATACTCTCTTCATGAGTTGAAGAATGCTTATAGTCCAAGGAGAACTGGTCAACAGAGAAAAAAATAGAGATGCAGAAACTTGCACTACTTTGAGTATGAAACTATTTTGAAAAAAATTTATACAATAATTTTAGTCACACTTATGTTAACAAATTTTTATTTAATGCTGCTCTCTTGCAGTCTTTGTATGCTATTTAAAGTTGATGTTTTCTTATGTTTGGCTATGTTTCAGTTTGCTTTGTTCATTCCTTTTTAATAAAAATATTTGGGCTTTTAGAAAACATCCACCAAATGTAACAGTTCTAAAACTTAGATCAAAGTATTAATCTTCATGTTCCATACTGCATTTATTTAACTGATCTTTTATGATTTTTAGTGATCCTTAGTTTTAACTTTAGATAATTTCTGAGAGAAAACCAAGGAGCAAAATTTTCCCTAAAGCTATCTTTGTTATTATTTCACCAAATTCAGGTCAAGCAGTTTATCTCTATTAATGTTTATTTAATGTACTTAATGATAAACAAATTAATTTTTAACCTTTATATAACACTATAAGAAAAATATATAATTGTAGCTAATTAATCATGGGAGGAGTTGTTAAAATAATATCAGTTAAACTGGTGACATCTGAGGCTTAGTTACAAAGTGATAACAGTATGAAAATGCTTCAAGTTTTATTTTGTCAGAACTAAGGTATTACATGTATTGCATGGTAAATAATCAATCTATAAAATATATTTGAAAAATTCAAAAGATATTTAATACAAGGTATTTTTCACTTAGTGACAAATGTACAGCAAGTCTGGTCCATTATATAACTATATTAATAATTAGTCAGTTATTTAGGTACTATATATATATTCTTAAATTGTAAAAAAATAATTATTTTAAAATGACAATCTTTTCATTGAACTTGCTATATGATTGGAAAGGCAAATACTTAATTCTTACAATCATTTGTGTTCCATAAATATATTTTATTCTTTTAAAGCATCTATTTCAAATTTCTTTTGTCTTGTCAGAAGTTTTAAGAATGATATACTTTTATCATCTCTCCCACACTAACAACACTTTCTTGCAGACTTTAACAATGAATTTTATATATTTTATACTTTTACAAAATTTTCTATTCTGAACAAAATTCCTCTTTATTGTAGATCTTCTCTATTATGTAATACTCTACACTACAACGCCCTGTGATATATTCCGGTGAACTGAATATAAGTTTGAACATCTGTCATCACTGGATAGGTCCACTGAATGACAGAAAATTTCCATAACTGAGTTGTCATGTTGAATGGATTAACTAACTAGACTAGAGAAAACTAAATATGAAATGCACAGTCTTTATTACCACAAATGTGAAACACAAACACACTGTACTTGCTTTTATGGAATGACTGTTTTACTAGACTTTGTCAGATACATGACTGTTTCAGTTTAAGTTTAATACAAGTGTTATGACATAGATAGTATATATTGCCCAAATATTAAACATAGTTATTTTTAGAGTGATAGTTTATTGCAGGTTTGTTTAGATAACTTTTTGTGAATCATATATTGTGTAATTCAATATTTATGAATTGGTGATTGTTATATTATTGCATCGTGTTACTAGAACCTTCTGAGTTTATCTCATTGTTTTATTTGAGCATTATTGCATCATAATATCTAGTAGTGAGTGGAACATTCTAGACCTCTGTCTGGATATAAATATGCATCAAAGATGTAGTTAGAAAGATAGATCTAGACTAAGTGATTGTGAGTTTAGCCATAAAGAGCATATATTGGCGATTTTTAAAGTGAAATTATAATAGATTGTATTGTAATAACAGAGTAGAGAAGAAATAATTTGTCTTTTCAATTGTGTTCTAAAGTAACAAGGTTTCACATTGAAAACTAATAAACTTACAAATATAGAAAGGCACTTTCTAATAATTAAACTGAAGCTATGCTATGAAATTACATCCACAACATACATATTAAAATTGACCCTTTAACATGACAATAAAATTAGATGAAACTATGATAAACAGAAAATGCAGAAGTATCTTTATGTACATAGCATTTTACTCAAATCAAACACCCAGGAAATAATAAAAATTCAAAAATATGTAGAGATACATGTGTATATATAAACTATTTGAAATAAAACCAAAGAAAACATATGATAAATACAATCACCTAATGCAGCCATGAAACCCAACCATCTTTGTCCTACTTCAGCCCTGCAAAAAAAAAATCCTTCAATGCTGCAGGTGTTCAACAATTTGCTATAACTGTGATTTTCATGATGTTCTGCACCTTGGCCAGAGCCCTCTTGGTGGATGCCCTAATCTGTTACAAGAAAGAATGATGTGTGATGATGGTATGTGGAGTGGCCAAGAATACTTGACTACACTTGACTACCACTGGATTACCTCCCAGGCCCTTTTCAATGGAGGCTTGACCATTGGACCTGCAGAGGCTTCAATGTTACCACTTGAGATTACATTGCAAAGGAAACTGCCTCTTTAAGAATGAGGTCTCTCAACTCCTGGTGGTGTTGCATCATTTTACTGAGTAGCCCTTCCAAAAATGTATCTATACGGATATCCCAGAATCTACTGAAGCCAATGCAGAGTAAGCTTTATCATGCAAATGGCAAAGATAATCTACATAACAGTTCAAGCTTTCTATGGTAACCCTCTTTTGTGCTTTGAATTTAGCTTGATGGATTGATCTGTTTTGCAATGGTTTGAACCTTCCGTCTCACAGTTCCATAGCTACTCCTTGTCCAAATGTTCATTGTAGTTTAAGGCCAAATCATCTAGACTTAGAATCAAGCATTGGATGGCTTGTTCTGGAGTTCATACATTTTGGTCTAAGTCTTCTTTGATTGTAGTGGAGTAATCTGCTTTGCTTCGGTCATGAAGTCCCATGATATTAGCCAGAATCTATCTTTTCTGACTTCCTAATCAAGGTGTCCTTAACACTGTCAACACAGCACAGTAGGAATGTTCAGGGGCTGTGACACCCTGAGTAGTAGTAGGCTCCTGATTCAGGGTGATAAAGCAACAAATTGCTCTTGGCAGTACATTCATTGGCTCTACTGGACCTCAAGCTTCCCCTTTGATCATGTTCAGCCTGGCAGCATATCTATAAGTTTTGAGAAACTCAACACTACCCCATGATCCACTCACTTAATTCAATGCCATCTCACCTTCTGGTAAGATGGCTCTGGTTGGAATATGGTATTTTCCAATGGTGCTTCCAATCTCTTTCCATTCCCATGTGGCTGTAACTACAGCTGGGTCTGAGTTATTCTCATTGGCATTGGTCTGAGTGTTCTGTACAGACCATCTCACCCAGTCTTAGACTCATCAGACATCAAAACACCTCATAAATCCATATTTTATTTCCTTTGCACCCAGGTTAATCCTTGGAGAGGAACTCAATGAACAGATCTGGGTGGTTTACATATTGGCAGCTCTATCATCTGGATCTTAGATCATAATGAGATCCAAATCATGGACCTTCTCAGAATTTGTAAAAATACAACATCCAGGCAGGAACTTCTCCTAGACTTGACAACTGTCTCAGACAATCACTTCCATTCAGTGACTGACTCTCTCTCTCTCTAAGTTATATGTCCTAGTTATAAAGTTCAAGTAAGTGGCTGTATATGCTTCAGTAGCTAATAGGAAACTTTGCAAGTATGATAATCTGCAGTTATGACACTAAACTCTTTCCTTAGCTATCCAGTCTGTGATCTATTCAGGTGAACTAAATATTAGTTTGAGCTTCATTGGATAGGTACACTGAATAACAGGAGGTTCTCTTAAGATATTAATTATTTAGTAATACCTAAAATCTTACTTCACTGGGTCTTATGTTGTATGAAATAACTAGACTGGATACAAATAGGAAAATAGAAATGTACAATCTTTATTACCACAAATGTGAACACAAACACAGTGTGTGTACTTGCTTTTATGGTACAACAGACTGTCCCTTTTACTGGGCTCTTTCTTTAAGCCACTTTTCCTTCAAGCTTATGCTTTATCCAAGGTTTTTAAGATTCAGAGAAACCTGATATTTACTCAGTATGATGACATGTGCTACTACATGACTGGTCCTTCTCATTACATATGTACAAGGCTGTATCTTCTATAAATCATCTGAAAAACTGTTGAAGGACATTGCTCTTAGCACCAGTCTTATGGTTTGATATTAATTATCATCCACACAAAAGCTACGTTTGCATACTTAAATGTACTAAAAAGTATATGTACACATTATAAAATGTAGTTTATCAAGCTGAATGTTTGGCTGTCCTCAAACCAAAAATGGATTCTTTCTGATATTTTTATTTAACTGTAGTCCTAGTATAAATATTATGCATCAAATACACAACTAACAACATTGTAAGCCTTTAGTCATTCATTTTTTTGTATTCTTATGAATTAAAAAAGTGTGTAGTTATGTACTTATTTTTAACATAACAAAACATTAAAGAACAACAAGGGACCTTCTGATCTATTTAGGCTGTCCTATCCACTAAATTAAAACTATAAAAAAAGCCAACCACCTTGTTAAAAAAGTAAAGCTGAAGATGACTTCTTCCTGACCAAAATTTATATTTGTGTCCCCAAGTCTTACCATTTTCACCATTAAATACAAAAAAAGATGAAGCATCACCCTACTAGCCCTCCTCTGAACACAATACTTCAAATGTGGCCTATTCAATAACACATACAATGACATTACAATCTTTTAAACTATTCAATATTTCTGTACATACAAATTAAAATCCTATTTGCCCTACCACTAGCAATAGCATATAGCTTGGATGACTTAAGAGACTGATTAACAATAACACAAGATCTTTTTCTTCCATAACACTGTTAAGGTTATTACCATCAAATTTATACTCATAATTCAAATTGTGATATCCCACATGCATTACCTTGCATTTATTATTATTAAAAGCCATCCAACATATATTGCCCAGCTCATAAAATAATTTAAAATTTATTGTAAGGCAAAAGCATCCTCTTCACAGCCAACAACACCTAAAACTTTAATGTCACCAGAAAATTTAAATAATGTATTGACCACTCCTACATCTATATCATTGATGTAAATAAAAAAGGGCAAGGTCTTAACACTGTGCCCTGAAGTAATCTACTCATGACATTATCCAGTTTGACTAAACTCCACTGATAACAACCCTGTGCTTTCTTCCATCTAGCCAATTTTCCATCCAATGCACTAACGTATCCTATACACACATATATAAAAAGTTTTTACAAACAAGCCTTTTATGTGGAACTTTGTCAAATGCTTTCTGAAAATACAGATACACTAAATCCACACTTGTATCCTCAACTATATTTTTCAAACTGTTGGGAGTAGTATGAATTTAAAAGAATTAATGAATACTGAAGTAATGTAAAGAGAAAACAATCTATGGTTAATAAGAATAAATTTAAGAGTTCAGCATTAATATACTATTTTAACTCAAATGTTTCATAGTTTCTGGTAAGTCAATGTATTCAGTAAAATATAAAGTGTTAGATAACTTTAAGTTCCTGTATACTTACAAGAATGGAACAAGAAATCTTTTTATTTATCCTTATATTTGACATTAGAATATTAATTTGAGATTTCTTTTTGTAGATTTGAAAACAAATTTAATTTTTATATGTTTTGCATATCCTAATAATTGTATGTTTTTATGGGCATTTCACCTTCGATTAAAAAATATTTTGCAACAAATCAACCCATGGTATATCTGATACAATTGAAAAAATATACTTTTTATTAAAAACTTCTAATCAAAAGTAAATTAGCTATACAGATATATGGTATCAGAAGTTAAATAATTTACAAGTAATATACACTTTAGTAAAGACATTCTAGTATAACAAATTGACTAAAAATACTTAAACAAGAATGCCAGTAACCTAAAACCTACAACAATTATATCAAATAGAATCATCAGCTGGGTATCCTCATCTATAATAATAAAAGGGCAGGTCTGTGTGTGTGTATGAACAAGTTAGCTCCAAGAGCAATGAATCTATAAACCTGAAATTTTGCACCCATACTAAGTGAACCCTGAGGGTGTGCACCTGGGTATTACTTATCTACATGTGAGTGCACATGCACATCTTTTTTATGAGGCAAGCTAGTGAAAAACCACATAGAAAAGAAATGGTTCCTTATATAACAGCATCTAATATATAGAAAAGCCAATGCATTTTGGTAACAATGCTTTTCAACAATAGCTTTTATGTCATGTTGCTTAGCAACAAAATTATAACCTAATATTGTTGTTATTCTATGTACTGAAAGTATAAAATGAAATGTATAAACAAAACTGGAATGATATTTGTTGATTTCTTAATTTAGAGTATCAATTGATTAAAGAGGTTTACTTTGAATTAAAAACGTTGGTGATATAGCAGAAAATGCCTTAATTCAGAAACAATTTAAGTTTAAAATTGGATCGATATTTTTACTTTGATGATAAATTTTATGCACTTGCTAAAACATATCAACCTAATAACCCATGTGAAGATGGGTACTTTCACTAGTGACTAATAATGTATTTAATAGAATCCTAATAAGGTTTGTCAGTCATAAGAGTTTAGATTCTAAATCCATACATGATAAGACAACAACAATAATGCAAAATAATCTTCAACAAGTCTTAGATTTAATTACAGTTGCTCAAATACAGTTCTAGACTGATACATTTGCATTTTAATTTACTTTATATGTTTAAAATTACATTATCTATTATATTATTTCAAAAACCCTTGAAAGTTCTAATTCACTCAAGGAATTTCACTCCAGTCCCTTTCAGTTACTAGCATTTTTATGATTTAGTCTTGATTTTAAACTAATTCTTGTTTTATTAGCCATAAAACAACATCAATAATAGCAAATAAACAATTATTCTCAAATTTGTCTGAGTAGTTTTATTTCACTCAAAACTTGTTTTCTTACATTTTAAGCACTGAATCATGTTTTTATTTAAATTTATCAAGATTCTTTAAAAAGAATGATTAGTTTATTAGAGCTGGAACTTCTTACAATTCTAAAAGTGATTTCTTATAGATTGTTAAATTTTAGTACATTCTCAATTAATGGTGTTAGTAGAGTAAATTTCTTCAATGAATAAATAATAAAAAAATTTGTGATTCTACATGATGGTCAATCTTTATAGGATCTTGTAACAGTGTATTTCAATATTTAATCTTCTAAAAATAACAACTAACTAAACTAGCCCAGAATACTATGAATACTGCCACCTACTAAAACTAACTACATGGGCCTTCAAGTTTAAACTTCATAAAAGTTGTTTAGTTTTAATAATGGATTTCCTATAATTCAGCTATGCAGATTTTGAAAATAATATTCATTTTTTTTCTACCATGTAAGGATTTTTTTACAAGAAAAAAATTCTCATTTAGATCAAATAATTATTTTGTTTACCACAATGAAAATTTTTTATTATTATTTTTGTTAAGAAAAATACAAACCGAAGAAAAGGGAAGAACATTGATGTCAAACAAATATGCATCTCATTCATCCTGATTTTTTTGTGAAATCTACAGCTTTTAGTCTCAAAACTATGTATTGTGGTCTTTCTTTTATGTATTGCATCTGGAGCATCTCATTTCAATGGCAGTACTCAGCCATTGTGCTAATGTTCCACCTTCCCTGATACATTTTCTCCATTTCCCTTATGTCTTGATGAAACCTTTCCCCTTGTTCTTTGCTGACTGTGCCAAGATTTTCTGGAAAATAGTCAATATGAGAGTGTAAGAAATGAACTTTGAATTTATCGAGCATGTTATTGACAATATTTTCATAATTTGGGTCCTTGTTGTTTCCTAAAAACTTGTCAATAACATCTTTAAAGGCAATCCATGCTTCTTTTTCAACTTTCCTCAATGTCATTTCGAACTATTCATCCAAAGTCAATTTCCTAATCTGAGGCCCAGTAAAAATCCCTTCTTTAAGTTTTGTTTCTGAAAGAGCTGGGAATTGCTCACACAGATACTTGAAACAGTCGCCATCCTTGTCTAAGGCCTTTACAAACTGCTTCATCAAGTCCAGTTTTATGTGAAGTGGAGGTAATAGGACTTACTTTGTGTCAACCAAACTTTCATGTTCAATGTTTTTCAATCCTAGTATTAGGCTGACTCTGCGTGGCCATTGTTTCTTTATGCAGTGCTAATTTCGTGCTCTGCTATTCCATTCACACAAAAAACATGGGAATGTCGTATAACCGAATTTTGACCCAACAACATACAAAGAACTTTTAAGTCTCCACAAAGTAGCCAATCATGTTCTTTTGTATTTTACCTCATTAAGAATAAGTTTGAGTTTTTCGTAAGTTTTCTTCAAGTGAACCGAATGAGCAATAGGAACAAATGCATATATGTTACCATTGTGAAGAAGAACACATTTTAGACTTCTTTTGGAGGAATCAATGAACAATTGCCACTCACTTGATTCATAGACTGTAGCTTCTAGCATTGGTATTAATTCAGCAATATTGTTACAATAAACCAGTAAACCTTCTTGCAAAAAGTATGTTATAAACTCTTTCTCACAATTTCTGTAACAGTAAAATGATGTCCCTGGATAAAGTACGTTCTAAGCCTGAAGTCTGGACCCCAAAATCTCTGAAGAATCCTTTGGAAGGCCCAAATCTCTCACCAAATCATTAACTTCACATTGTACGAAAAGTTGTAGTTCAAGTTGAAAACAATTCCTATCATCATTTCTACTGACATCAGATGAAACTGTATCAAGAGTCTCCGGTGGAGTAGGTACAGGTACATTAGGTCCATAAGCAACAGGTCTTATAACAGAGTGAAGGTTTGGATAAGAAATTTCCGTTTTATTTTGTGTAATGTAGCCCTGCATGTTACATGAGAAAAAAGAACAGTCATCTGCGTGGTTTCTAGTCCCACACCATACCACTGGAATTCCAAAAGACAAAGACTTTTTCTTACCTATTATCCATTGTCTCAACTCTTTAAAACAAACAGTGCAAACTTTATGCGGTGCCCATGATTTATCTTGATCCCAAAGTTTTATTCCAAAATATGCATAATATGCTTTTTTGATGAATTCTGTAATGTTTTGCTTTTGTTTCTTTACAACAAATTTACCACAAATATAACAGAATATGTTTGGGTAATTTACACAACCTCTTATTGCCATAGAAACAAACAAATAATATTGAAACAAAAAAAATAATGTCAAAGTGCATGAACAAACAAATACTATCTAGAAATGACATGTCATATGACCTGTTAACTGTATATATACTAGTGGTGTGTTTCTCATGGATTCTAGAACAATCAATAAGACTCTCATGTTGCGAATGGTCTAGAGAAATCTATAGTCAGTGGTTGTCAACATTTTAAGCATAACAAGTGATTCACTTATGTAAAAGTACATATGACATTTTGTTAAAAATGGTTATCATTTTCAGATTCAGTGTAAAGGAATTACTGTAGAACATGAAAAAATTTCAAGACAATAAAACCATTACAGACCTGTGTTATTAGTGAAGTGTTTTTTTCAACTTTCAATGTAAAAGAAAATGTTAATAATTAGTTCAGTTTTCCAATTGCTTAAGTTAATTAGATTTAACAAAAGACTTAAATGTTGGAGCTCTTTTGATTACTGTAGTAATTAAGTCTCATAACAATTTCGTTGATAAAGTCTTTCTCATTATATAATGGAATACATAACTACTTATGTCACATTTCAGAGAAAACTTACAGATGTTTGAACTGCTGAGGTGCTTGATGAAACACCCATCCATTTTATTGGATGTGTTGATATGTTGCCATTGGTTGTACCACTTGTGCTAATGAGATAAGGAACATTTAATATTTTATAAAAACAATACATTCTAGCTTTATAGTAGAAGTACTTAGCTTAATTTATTACTAAGACAATGATTCACCTTATGAATAATATACTATGATCCCAAACAGATAATCTGTTTATAAAAGCTTTAGTAAACATTATAAAAATCAAAATATAATGTTTTACTTAATGGATGGCTAAGAGGCATTTTGAAACTACCCCTTTTCAAATTGCTGACATTAATAAAAAGCATTTTTTTTCTGAAAATATAATCAATATTGGAAGGTTACGACTCAAAATAACTCTTTTGTCAGTTGAGTATGATTTTTTTCACCATCTATTACTTTTCATTCAGATTTTCTTACCATAGCCAAACTAATATTAGGTCATCAAGAAATTAATGTTGCTTTTTTTAGATGAAAAAACCCAAACAA